TTTGATATTTGCCATAGTTACAATTCCGTTGAAATTTGTTATATTTTAAACGAATTTACAAAGTGGTTCAGCATAAGTGACTATAGTTGTTTAATTTAGATTAAATTAATTTTCAATTGGATCACTGTGTTATATTCTTATAATTAAAATGAAATGAAATTGATTTTAATTAATTTTTAAATTTGTCACCTTCTAACTTATTGTGATAATTTAAGATTTTATATCACTTGATTATAAAAAGTAGTTTTACATAACAAAATACCAGTCCAATATAGAAAAATCTTTACTATATTAATCATTGGTGGAGCTTTCAAAAGAGAACATCGTAGAACAGCAGGCTTTAATGACAGAACGTATGACGTAATTGTTTATGGGTGCTACTCACCATGATTTTCTTTTAGTATATTCTAACAGAACGTTTTTATTTTCAAAAGATTTTTACTTTTTAAAAATGTTTATCAATTGTTTAAGTAGTTGAAGTAGTTTGAAAATATTTTTTCGGGAGTGGAGGAGCTGTAATAGACAGTGGTTTAAAAATGTAGGGAGGGTGCAAGATGTGACATACACAAAAGTTTTATTTTAGTAACACAATCGTATAAGTAAAATAACTTAAATTAAACATATTGATTAGAATTCCAGTATATATTAATTATAGGTAAACTATGGTAAATAATAGATACCTATATAGTCTCTAGTATCGATAATCAATATTATTGTAATCGCACTATGTAGAGAATGATGTACCATACCTATATAAAGTAGGTAGAAAATATTAAAATAAAATGTAAATAGATCACAACTTACTGGTACACTAGTGCCATTAATAAATGCGTCTATCAGAACGGATTAGTGGCAGCAGATTGTTGTCAATATGATTTGTCGAAAAAATTGATCTAGTATGATTTAATATGAAGTCCAAATCAAAACCTTAAATCATTACAAATATTTAACTATGTAACTTTATTTATATTATTGACAGTACAACAGAGTAGATTTTTGATGGTTTTGCTTAAAATTTCACTGCCGAGAAAGAAATTTCGGGGTTTATCATCAAATCCTATATGAAAAACCGTTGATTTTAAATCCTGGGGGGGGGGTTAGTGTTAGATATTAATATTATTAAACAGAGCATATTACATAATTATTATTTAGTCGTTACAGACATTCGTTTGATGGACATATATATCGCATCTATAGCCCTAGTACTATATTGGGTTCATCTAATGAAAAGCGTTGGCGAGTAGATAAGTAGGTATCTATACTAAATGTAAATTATTTATTTACGATACACCGACCAATACAACATATAAACACTTATAACGACCGGAGGCCATCCGAATAATGGCGTGTCTGAATAACAGCATGCAATTGTAAGTAGGTATATAGGTACAACATATTATTACGTGCGGTAAGAAATTATTTTCAGATGTATAGAAAAAAGTATACCTAAACATTATAATCGATAATTTAACGTACAAATATATATTGATGCTTGTCAATTTGAACCGGTCAAACAATTTATTAACGTTTGTTGAGTCTGCATGTTAACTATATTTACCTATTAGGTATATTACATTCGGCAGCATAACATATTTTAGTAATATTTTAAGTTTTGACGTTTTTCGTAAGTATATTGAAAGTATAATATACATTATACTGGTGCCTGTATAACTATGTAGTACCTTCCGTGATGTCATATTCATTTATAAGTCGACCATAGTCCATAATTCACAATTAATTTCGAAACGCGTCACTAAACGTCACGGTTTAAAACACATAGGTAGTTATTGTTAGGTACCTATTATAAAGGTATAATAATGTTATTAATTGAATGATTGAATTGATTATGATGAAACTATGACAATATGAAATTATAATTATTTACGGTTTAAATTTTTTTTTTTTTTTATGTAAACCTTATATTGGTAAACAATTAAGACGAATTATCGTATCTTTGGCAGTTATATTACTTAACGTTATCAATTTATATATTCTATATACATATCTCTATATAGGTATCTACGCATAAATATTTATTATACGTACCTATGATATAGTTTCATTATATAAAACGATTTTTTTTAATTACCATTTATTCTTAATTATAATAATGCTCGTGTTTACATCAAGATAATTTGAAAAAACATAGAAAAAAAATAATAGTAAAAATAGTTAATCCCACAAGTCGGGACAACAATTTTTTTTACTCGGTCACGTTTTATTAACTTTATCAAAGTGCCGCAATCAAAATGGCAATAAAACTAACGTCATTGTTGTATCTGATATAAAGTGGTGATTTTATAAAGGAGTATAGCGTGCGAACAAGCCATGCAATCCACTACGTCGAAAAAATAGGGTCATCAAGCCCGCCCACTAGACGCACAAAGGGATTCTTTATTTTCTGTTTTCATTTTTAACATTTTTATCGTATTCAATTAAAATATATGATATCGACTGTGAGCTGGTTGTATAACAATATAGATAATATAGTCGATTTTTGGGGTAGGTTTTTTTTTAGGTTCCCAATAATTATAATAATCGTAAAGACACATCAAGCAAGTCCAGTGCAGATACGGTGTTACTCGGCACACCAACAATTTTCTTGTTTGTTTTTTTTTTCACAAATATTAATATTATTGATTGATTTATACTAAACGTGTAAATATTATAACAATGATGAACGACATATTATAATGTTTAAAATATTTGTTACCATATGATACGTTTACACTCAAGAAATAATATTCATTGAGATAAGTCTATTAACATCACCACCTATAACAAAATAATAAATAATATTTCGGTCACATCTTCGGTTTCCGCGTGAATTTGACTTTTTTTCTTGTGGTTTAAAAATATAGTCAAGATTATCTTTTTAAACTTTATTGTTTTAACACTGGCATGACACAATAATAAAATTCAAAAATTGAATATTATTTTTTAAACAAATTGAATGTAAATTACTATGCATGAAAAGCAAATAAGAATACTAATGCCTGATTATGTGCAATATACATTACCTACTATAATACGAGTACATTTCCATAGTATAAATATGTATGTATTAGATTTTGAGTGGACCGAAGAAGCTTATTATTTTACAAAGATGTTTATTTTATTTTTTTATACGTACGCAACTTTTCTACCAGAAGACTTGCTCGGATTTTTACGTGTAGCACCTTTTCTAAATGAAAATCGGCGTGGAAAGATACTTTAAAGAAGTAATTTTTTTGATTTTTCCAAGAGTTTTCCCAGCAAATGTGAAAAACTGGGATAAAACATGGAAAAACCTGGAAAAACACAGGAAAACCGGGAAAATCGGTACAACATTAAACATACATTATCAAAGAAAATATGTAAAGGCTATTTAATTATTTATCTATAAAATGACATACACATTGTTGACGAATTATAACTATAAACTGAACTCCGTTCAGAATCGTATTTTCGTAAGCAATGGTTTATCGTTGCTTACAAGCTACAGATATACATTAAATTATCTATAACAGTGACTGCACCCGTCCCTATTTAGCCTAGGGCTTCAATTGATTTTGTCTTAATATATTTACAAAAATGGGAAAATCACTAAAAATATACTTTAAATATTTAAGCACACGATTTAGTATTTAAGGTATATTTTATATCTAAATATTATTATTGATAAGATTTAAGTATTATTAATATAACTTATTAGATAACTTATATTAATAAGCTATTGTTATAGCAAAAAAAAAAAAAAAAAAAAAAAAAATCAANTTATTAATATAACTTATTAGATAACTTATATTAATAAGCTATTGTTATAGCAAAAAAAAAAAAAAAAACAAAAAAAATCAAGAGATCTATTTCTCAAAAATACGTAGCTTAGTGTAAAATTAGGCCATGTGGAAGAAGGAAGGGGTTAATATTTTGTCGTAAGAACACGTCACGTTAAACAATTTTTTCTTTCTAAGTAAATATAATACTTTACTACTTTACTTAAACAAAGCATCAACATGAAATCTACGTATTTTGAGTATAATTTCTTTGATTTTCAAACTATACAAATTTATTATATGTACCTGCCAACAAAATTTGTATTAATAGAATTATTTATTACACATTATTGTGTTTGATATTATAATAATATATATTTAAATTGGTCAGCTAAATTTTAAATGTTATAAAAGACGATCCGAAATTGAATAATTTTATACAGGGATTCAATTTTTTCAACTAATTATTATACTAACCAGTTGTCTGACAGTGTGATCTATAAAAATATTTAAAGTCGTTGTAAACTAGATAACGGAAATTAATCGTACATTATCATTTATCAGGTGTATTAAATCAGAGTCGTCCGCATTGTATTCAATCTTTGAAAATAGAAATCATCAAATCTATCAAGTGTAGGTATTGATTTTTGTTTAAAAATTAAAATATACCACGCGTAAAAGAAAAAAAACAAAACATTCGCACAAAGTGAAATTCGACAAATCTACTCGCATACTTATACCTATTTGCTCTATGCGAACCATGCTTTTAACGTAGGTAGGAATAAGTAAACGCGTCCAACGATGGTGTACAACGATATTGCTGTCGAACACGCTCATTTCGAATTCGTCGTCGGGTACCCGGGTGGGTAGGTACCCGACCTATCGTGTGTAAAAAGCCAATTGATAAAATTATTGTAATAATTGTACCGTTACAGTATATAGGTAGGTACACACGGTGTTATTACCATTACGAGGGTGTGTGTATATATATAATATAAACGGTCCCAAGGTTTGTGTCGACGTGTCCAGATAACGCGAACGAAACGGAACTACGTCGTATAAAAAATGGGTAGTTTATACCTACACGGTGTATAATATATATGTATATAAATAATATTATGATTGCGCGCGTGCACAGTAATAAATGGTAAGGCCGCAAGGGCGTGGGCGTCGCACGACAGGAAACGGTAAATCTAAAGCTCTGACCCGTGTTCTTCCTCGGCTTTTCTGGTGGTCATTCCGTCGAAATGCGCCCTCCGATCAGGACCTCCGTTGCCGCGGTATGCGTCATCGTTGTCGCACTGTCGTCCTGCTTCGGCTGCGACGCCTCTGAAATCGCGTCCAGGTCTAAGAGAGGCGTAGTTCCCGGCAACGCGGCTTCCAGACCCAAAGGTAAACCGCCTACATAGTATAGTTATATATTATATTGTTATATTGACAGTGACACAGTTGTCCGAAAATCCGGATTTCGGTTTTTTTTTTTTTTGGCCTTCCTAAATCTGAAAATCTGTTTTTTAGATTCTGAGCGAAGCAACGAGGTATTGGTTTTACTATGGTAATGATGATGATGTTGTTGTCGGTTTTTTTTTTTAATTAATTTTTTTCTTTTACTGTAAACAGCTTTATTTTTATCATACATTTTGTTCCGATCAAAAACATTGGCATTTTTTATCTAATTGGTGACATTATTGGGGAGGTAATTTTTTAATATTACCTGTGTTTTTATAATAAATCAGAAAAACTGACAATCTAATGTAATATTCAGTAGTCGATCGGCAAAATGATTCCGGGAAAGGGCCATTACGTTATTTCGGGTATTTATCCAGGGCTCGGGAAGTACATACTATTCATCATATCAATATTTATACCATCATAGATATGTTTAATTGTATTTACGTACATTTAAATTTTAATTAAAGGCGAGGTTGATAGGCAAATGCCTAATTAACTAGCAAAGCCTCTTGAAACACCCTGAAGTATAACTACATGATTTATTTATTTATTTATAACAGAAAATCGTATCACTTTGTTCTACGATTTCAAACATATGTATGTACAATATCTATAAAGTACCTAACTTGCATTATTTTGAAATAAATAAGTGATATGGATAGTACGTGGTTCAATAGTACTGAGACCGGTCTTAGGTTTTTTGCCACCCTAGGCCATTCTAATTTACGCTGCCCTATTAAAAAATTAATTTTTTGGAGAGGAAGGGTTATAAAAAATATGGACATTCATTTTTAAACGATTAACCCTTGCTTTTATTAAAAAAGAAAAAAATGTTTTGACCTATCTCAGTTTTCTGAACAAAATATTAAAATCATTAAATTAATATAAATGTTCTGAAATAGTATAATTCATATTAATAACTGACGTTATAAATTAATTATTGTTATCTATACATTAACATCAATAAGTATTTAGTTATACATTAAAAAAATATAGTAAATGAAATTTATTTTGTGAACCTTTTCTGGTGCAAAATCAGACAATACATTTTTATACTCAAGATTTTTCATCACTTCTTTTTCAATAGAAATTGTGGCTTAATCTTTCTTGGTTCATAGAAAACTTCCAATAGTTGTTAATTATTTTTAATTTGAAAAAGCTTCATTCACCTAATGCGACCGTTACAGGCTTTGTTATAATAATTCAGAGTGCTACAGTTACGTTTGGGGAAAAATTGTTATTATTTACAATAAACTGTAACACTTTCCAATGGGGAATTTTTGTAATATTATAAGATATTTTTTTAGATTTTGACGGGAGCGAAGAAGCTTATCTATATGGTTTTACGAAGATGTTAATTATTTTTTTGTGGATAACTTTTCTACCAGAAATCTTGCTTCGATTTTTAAAAGTAGTAACTTTTCTGAAAGGAAATCTGACTGAAAAAGTACTTTAAGAGGCCATTTTTACATTTTATCAAGAGCTTTCTCAGCAAATGTAAAAGACCAAGAGAAAAATGGGAAAAACGTAGGAAAAACGGGAAGATCGGTACATTAAAGTCATTAAACATATACTTAAATTAAATTTATAATAAAACGTTTATTTAATTATTTTACCATAATATAACATATATATTGTTGACAAAGCATCACTATCAACTGATCAATTTAACTCAGAATCGTTTTTTCGTTAGCAATGGTTTATCGTTGCTTACAGGTATACATTCAATTACTTATAACAGTGGCTGCATCCGACCCCATTATCATAGGACGTCATTTTTGTATTTGTTGAACAATAAATATACATTTCTGCATAATAGATAATATAATATAATAATTAAATAAATTTGGTTCATTCAAAACTTGCCACCTTAGGCAGATGTCTATTTTTCTAGCGCATTGGATTGGCCCTGTAATATCTACCTATATTCATCATAAAAATTATCATTAGGGCCCGGATTTATATGCATTTGCATGTTTTTTTAGGCGATCTAAAAAATAGCTACATAAGCTACAAGTTTGAATTATAATAAATAGAATTAAAATACAAAGTTTTATTCTGCATACCTATTTTGAATTTTTTACTTTCTTTTGACATGTACTGCATATTTCTGTATTTTACGATTTTTTATTGCATTCAAATGGTTTTTAAATGCATAATATGTAATATATTGGTTGTATTTATATTAGTTTCAAAGTAATGATAGAAATAATAAAAATAAAATCATTTTTTTTTTAAATCTGCAAATTTGTTATATGCATATTTTCTATTTGAAAAAAAAAATATTTTATATACTTTTTCTGAAAATCGATTTTTTTTGTGCACAGGTATGTTTTATTTTAAAAGGTATATTTCTACAAAATAAGAGCATAAATGCATATTTTATAGTGCCTATTTCTAAGGTTTTTAGAGCTTATAAATCCAATCACTAAATTCATCATATTTGTCTTTACAACTTTTTAAAACGAGTTATGATTATTCACGCGACATAATACTATTCTATTTTGTACCCGTTACGACGACTTGACACTCGATAATAAAATATAACGCCTGATTGACCTTGATGAATCAATAAAAACAATTATTATGACGATGGGTTTAGATATTCTACAGAGTGGGGCATATAGGCACCCGAAGAGGGGGGCAAGACGGGGCATCTGCCGTCTCCCCCACTGGAATTCAATATTTCAAATATAATTTTTTGGTGTTTAATTTTATTATGCCTTTCCCTAAATTTCTTGTGGGCGACCATGGAGTGGGGTATTCATATACACAAAAAATGTTCGAAAATTCCGTTTTGATTCCATGGACATTTTTTTAGTTTTTTGGGCCAAATACCCCTATGTGCGGCAGCTCGCAACAATATAAATTAAATTACTCTATGTATTCTCCCTTTCAACATTATTACTTCTAAAACTGTGGTACACCCACTAATATTAGCCAATATCTCTATTTTTAGGTAATAAATAAATATTTCGGTTGAACTCTTGATTAGGGTTGGACAGGCTAACCGACGATTTAAACATCAAGCCATCATAGAGACTTAAAAACTAAAAATCGATTAAAGTGACAACACTTTATTTCCTCAAATTTATATCTCTATACACCCATGCTATGAACTATTAATAGAAATATTGTTAATAAACATTATATTTGTCATGACAACGAAAATGCAATTGGCCATACCTACATTTTTTAGTTGTCAAATTACTTAATAATGTAATCATATTATATAATTAACATTTTCCATTCAATGTATAGATTTAACTATCAAATCCAATTTTTTCGCAATATTTTACTACAAAAGTTGTTTTAATATTCTCTTAGTTATAAATATATTTTATTTAAATATTGTAGGAGTGTACACAAATAAAATTAAAATTTGTAAGCCAAGGAGAACGAAGTCAGACAAACCCAAATTGACAGTTTAGTGATAAGTGAAACAGAAATTAAACTACCACGGGAGGCTTATAATACAACTTTTTGAGAATGATTATGGCATAATAAATTAATAATTTGTTTAATTCATTCAGTGTTAAAATATTTCAGAATTAATGTACAATAAAATTAATTTTGAATAAACTATTAAGTCAAATTAAAAAAGTATTTATATTTGTTCTTAAATATTATTACAATACCTACTTTTTGAATGGATGTATTTGTATGTGTTGAAATATAATTTGAAACGTACTTTTTACTTTATAAAATTGATTAATAGTATATTTTTTCCAACAATTCGTTAGCCTATGAATATTTTCAATGATACCTAAACTGAAAGCGACTCCTGCCAACGCAGATTAAAATAGAATCCATAATTGGTGTTGTGGTATAATCAAAAACTGGTTCCTATCATTGTTACCATTTACAAGTCATTATCTTTTATTTTTGGAACAAGACAACGCTCATACTTCTTTAAGATACTATGAATAATGAATACATATTTAACAATATTAAAATAAAATCTCATAAGACAACAATATTACCTGTCAATTATATTTTAAATTTGGTAGCTAAATTTTAAAATCAAAAAAATCGTTATGCCTAACTGGGGCCTCAAAACCTCAATACAGATGACAGGCCAACTAGCAATTGCCGGTTAGATACCCGGGCTAGGGCACTATAGAACATTGTCAAACATTGGAAAAAATGTCAATACATCGAAAAACATCTAATTACATCAAATATGTTCAGGTACCTACTAGTTACTATTTATACCCCTTATTGGCTTATTCCACTAGCACATGATCAATTTTTTCAATTTTCACATTTTAGAAAAAAATGTTGCCGGTAACTGATGTGAAATATTTATTTTATTGCTACAACAAAATATTCTAGATACTAATTTATTTCAATAGGTAATATTGTTGAAAATATATTGCCATTACAGCAAACAAATATATTTAACTTTACAATGTAAAAATATTTTATCTAGGTTCATATTTATTTTGGAAACATGTTACTGTAAGATCAAATGATTATTTTGACATAAAGCAATAATTGAGTGTTAATGAAAAACTACCAGAAAGTAGAAGAATTGAAGTTCCGTAATGTTTGGGTAGGTACCTACTCGAACAAATATCTTCATTTTCTTGGATTTTTTTCGCCATTACTCAAAGTTCTAAAGTCAGAGTTGAACCAAAATTTTGAATTACAATCATTTATTGTGATATTATGTGCATTTATATTAAAAACATTTTAGTTTGAGAGATTTTATTAAGTATATGACCTTTTACAGTTTTAAAATTCAAAATGTTTATACTTCAATTTTCTCTCTTCAATAATACAACATTTTTAAAATTGTGTCTATTTTTTAGACATGTGTCGTAGTGACACCTTCTGCAAGCAGTGGCCAAAGACATCTTGCGCTAAAGATCCAGTGGATGGCATTCAACGTTGTTTATGCGCCGACCAGTCACATCCAATCAACAAAGATTGCATTACAACACCTCAAGGTATTCAGTAGATTTTTAAATTTATTACAGATTTCTCAAATACTATCATGTTTTAAAGGACTGGGAATGCAATGCGAATTGGACGTTCAATGTATACAGTTGGCATATTGTGCGTTAAATGCAAGCGATCCAGCAACAGAAATGAAAATATGTCAGTGCCGAGATGAATTTAAGGAAGAGGACGGCACTTGCAGTGGTCAGTTAAATTAATATTATAAACTATGAATTAAAAATGATTATGTTGTCAACTGCACAAATTATATTATGTTATGTTACAGGTGGTTTACGAACAATACTGTCACTGTACTTGGCAATTTTGGTAGCCATAGTTTTACAATTTAACTATTACTAAACAGATTGTCAGTTTTTTTTAATTACATTTTTTATTTCAATATTTTTTCTGGTAAAGTGTTGCTGACAATGTATTTCCAACAGTGCCTCCAAACTGGTATGACGGTGTTGGGATGGTGTGTATAATTTGGAAATCTATAGAGAAAAAAAATTAATTAAAAATGCACTAATATTAAATATCTTATAAGTAGATAAAATACATTATTAAAAGTTATTTTTTACCATTGTCAAATTGTTCGTTCAATTCTAACTGTGTCCAATTACAACTAACAATCAGGAACATACCGTTCGGTTGTAATAAATTGATTATGTTTTCTTTATATTGGTTTCTTTTTTCTTTACTCATATCGTTCATACTAATAACATCGTAAGTACCTTTATCCAAGGCTAATTGAAATGTAGGTAATGTTTTCACATCATCAGTTAGAAAATCAAATTCTTTTAGTGTTATATTTTTAATATTTTGTTTTAAGATTATTGAATTTGCTAATTTCACAGCCGGGGCTGAATAATCTATGCCGTAAAGATTGGAAAATCCTAATTCAGCCTAATTGGTTATTTTTCAACAACACACAAACTTTATTAATATTTTGAAGATTTAAAATCTAATATAAATATTATTATTATTAATTACCTACTAATTGAGTTAAGAGCAAAGCATTTCCACATCCAACATCCAAAATTGGATCTTCTCGACTTAATTTACAGTAAGATTGTATACATCTGAAACATAACTTTTTGTTTTATTTATATCAAATTATTTATAAATAATGACACAATTAACTTTTTATGTCACATAGTACTCTGAGCTACAACAATATATTAGCTTTGCACTATTTGAAAATATATATAATATATACTTATTAAATTTAATATTAATAATATTAATTAAAAATCAATGATTTTTTTTTCTTCAAATAAAATCCAATTGCTTCAAGTCTATCCTATAATATTTTTAACAAATACAAAATAATAATTGTTTTATCTTTAGTAGTACATTTTAGGACAGTTAGATGAAAAAACTTAATTAGCATTTGGGGTAACTTGGTCTAATCTTAAATATAAAGATTATGTTTTTTGTATTATTATAGCAATTATTTGTCTAAAGACTTCAATATTTTTACTATAATCTTAAATCTTTTATAATTTTTAATTATGAAAAAAAAAAAAAAATTAAACACATTTACTGGAGTACCAGTATTTGTATAATATGAAAATTATCAAATTTATTTTTGTAGGATTTTAATTACTATTGATTGTACATATTTCTTTAACAAAATGCCATGTCGTTTAAATTAAAAATAAGAATACACTACTGATGTAAGTACACCTAAGTAAAATAAGCATGTGTTCTTTCTATGTTACACATCTTCAACTGAATATGGTTTTACACTAAATATATTTATATAATATTGATAATTTTTACTGTCCATCAATATGTCAATAAAATGTTCTATATTTTTTTTTTTTTAATATATAAAACTAAAATAAATCAAATGTAAACCTATTCTTACTTAATCATCTTCTGTCCAGTACTGTGACCAAACCATTCAGAGCCAGGATCACCAAAGTTATTAAAATTATCCAATTCTATATTGTAAGTATCATTCCAACTGAAATTTAACAAAACTAAATTAATACCTATTTATGAATTTATACACGAATTATAATTGTTGTATGTATTGTATGATTCCAATATTTAAAATTATTTTTATTATTTTTTTAACCGATTAGTATCAAACTTTATTAAGTAAACAAAGGGTATTATAAAATGTACTGATAAAATATAACTATACATTTATATTTAATATAAATACAGTAAAATTTCCATGTAACGGTCACTGAAGGGACCAGAAATAATGACCGTTACACAGAAGTTACCGTCTTTTAGAGGTCACCGTTAACAGAAGTTTTACTGTAGTTATTTTTATAATAATTGTACCTACTAAACATAATAAACTGTTATTGTAAATTTTCAATTAATAAACATTTTGAAAGAAGTTGAATATTCGACAGAAATTGTGTATTATACTTTTGCTATGGGATCATATAACTGATCCAGCAACTGATAGCATCAATCATCACGACTATATATAGATATTAAAAGAGGGATCGAGATTATTATTTAAAACTAGTACCTACATTTTTAGTTTTAATAAACATTTAAATTTAAAAGTAGGAATAGCTTTTAATAGTTATAATCATTATTTTTGGTAGCACTGTTATAAATGAGTACTTATTGATAATATCATAGTTACCATAATCATCATGACATCAAAACAAAATCTTTCATGTATTTATACATCGTTTTTTTTTTTTCATTTGTTGTTATTAATTTAAAATGATTCAATAAAATTAAATAATATCAGATCATTCTTTATGGTTAAACACGTAAATTAATTAGATAAGTGTAAACTGTACAATAATTTGTTGAGTATAGACAAATATTAGAAAATATGGATCGTATTCCAAAGGAACAAGGAGAAATATTAAAAAATGAAGAAGTACTGCAAATGAAATACGAGGAAAACAATAAAATTACAAAAAAATTTATGGAAGAAATCAATGAAATTAAAAGTAAAATGAATTGTTATGATACGCACAGTACACCGGAAATTAAACAAAAACCAAAACCTAATAGATCATCAGAGTTTAAAACATTTATGAAAATTATTGATAATGGTGATACCATTGAAGAATATAAGACTGTTTCGAGTAAAGAAATTACTGTAAAGAATTATGTTCTCCAAAAAGAAATTGATCGTTTAAATAATGAACTTGTCAAAAAAGATGACACCAATGATCATTTACAAGAAGAAAATAAAAAATTGACTGAAGAAAAAGATAAATATATCTATCAAGTATCGTTGCTTAAAGAAAAATTAAGAAAACACGATAAAGAAGTTGAAATCTTAACTGGGACACTAAAAACTAAAGATACTGAGGTGAATAGATTATTAAAAGATATAGGTAGTATAGAAAGAAAATTTAAACACGAACAAGTTGTGCACGATAAACAAAAATCGATTTTTGAAAAAACTGCGGATGAAAATAAACAACTTAAAGAAACTTTGAAGAAGTTGGAAATAACACACAAGGAAGCTGAAGAAAAGTATACAAAAACATTATCTAGGAACGATGATGTCTTGGCAAAATGCATTAGAGAAAAAGATGTGCTGATAGCAGGATTCAAAAAACAATTGGAATTAATAGATTCACTGAAAAGACAAAACGTTAGAACCAAGTTACAAGAAGAAATAATAATTTTAGAAAACGAATTCGGTAAACTTTTAGACAGTAAATAATACCATGTATTTGAGAGTAAACTTACTATTCTTCTGTAGCTAAGTTAGGTTGATCTTGACAGTTATCTTCGTCAGAGCTCATTTTTTTGATAATATATGAATATATTTAGTAAAAATATAAATATAATTTATGCACGTTTGTATTTTGATCAGATTTTGTAATCGTATTTCAATTTTATTGATCTGTTAATATTTTTAAAGAAACTTACATTTTCAGTTTTGTGAATTTCGTTATCCGCAAATAACACTATGTGATAATATTATGTTAACAACAAATTGCTATCAATGTTAAGGATTAAATTAATTTTTTTCCTAGATGGCGCACTATTAATAAATAAATACGAAAAATTATTATAAAAAACCACCGGTAGGTAATAATATTCCTACATACCTAATATTTTAATTTATAAAATGTTTTGTAGTATAACTAGATATTTGGTATTTTCCCAGAAAAATTTTTCTATAAAAACGTTTTATTATCATAGCATTACGCGTCGAAGCGTTATTAAAATTTATATGTATTTTGTGAAATATGTATAACACATATTATAGGTAGGTACATGATTCAGTAAAATGTTACTCATTGGACATTATGCTGACCTATAAGAAAAAAGTCTTGGGCATTTTTTTCGTAAACGAATATGTTTTATGGATAACACAAATAGGCTAATTGGTTTTGAATACTTTTGCAAATAATTTTTAATGTAGATCATAACAACCACAAGCGTGCGCACTTAGAGAGGCATGATAGGCGGCTGACTCCACTGCAAGATTTTTCGCCGAAATATTTTTCAAAAAACATGTAAAATATACATTTTTTTTTTTTTTAAATATTAAATTCTAATGCAATAGGTTAGTTAACTTAACCCTTAATTTTGTCGCAAACAGGGAGGAGCTATTTGAGGATTTTGATCCCCCTCCCCTTCCCCTAAAACTCAACCAAGCCTCCTAAAATATAGCGCACATCAAATAAATACTGAGTACATATAATCAATATAACGGAGGCCTAGGCAGTGAAGCCCTCCTTCAAAAATATTTGGGCTATTTGTGGCTATGATGTTGTGTAAAATTGTATTCAAATATCGTTGCCTCCTCTGCCAAGACGACCTGCGCACGCGTATGATAACAATAATAAATCATGTATTACAAACGCAGTACACAGAATAGTTAGGTATTCCTTTATATAATGTTCTATACACAGTAGGGTGGCCTTTAGTTATAGGTGAAGTTAGGTAACGTTACTTAAATTATAGATTATTTTTACTTTTGAATAAAAAACAATTTCAAACATGTTTTCATTAATCTGTAATAATTTTCCAAGAAAAATTATAAAATGTTGAATATTTCTTTTATTTAAAAAAATTGACTTTTTTTTTATGGTTTTTTAAGTATATCATAATAACGACAGATAATACGACAAAATATCCTATATACAAATGATAAAGAATTTAATTTTCAAAAAAAAAAAAAAAAAAAATTAATAAGTTTAAACTACATTGCATGTAGGCAATATAAGATAGGTAATTTAAATTTGTACCTAATCGATTTTTTATTTGTTTTGATAATTTTGTTATTGTTGTGTAAAAATCAGTAAATATTTTATAGCTAAGATTAGATAATAATAATATTAGGTATAGACATCGAGACACAGAATTTAATTTATTTCAGTATTTCACACAAAATTATTGCTATTTAACTTTTTCCTGTATACATGACAATTTTAGTTCTTTGTGTATAAAAAAAAATATTATTTAAAGTACACAAATACAGGTTTTTGTTTTAACTTTAATGTTTTTTAATTTATTATTATGGCATCGCCATCAGAATTCAATCTTCGTGACTCAAGTGAAATATTTTTATTCGGAAGTGTTTCAAATTATAGGTACCTATAATAAAGTTACCTTCAATAAAAAAAATTGTTAATAAGTGTAATATAGGTCTATAAATCAAAGTGTATGAATTAATTTGAAACATGACTCGAGATGCAGTGGCGTAACACAAAAATTTGGGCCCCTCCCCGCAAAAATAAAAAAATGGGTCCTTAAAACATTGTTTAGGTATATTAGTTTAAAAACATTAATCTGATATAGATAAATAACTTATTTTAATTCAAATTTTGTTATGATTTAATAAAAAAAAAAAACAATGTTTATTTAATGTTACACAATTATTATTTAATGTATAAATTACAAAATTTTACTGAATTATTTTGTTTAAATTTCTGCGATCTTCTAGCATTTTTTTGGGCAAACTTGTTAATTAACATGTTTATATCTAAACTGCGCGTTCTCTCGTTTTCAATACTCGATACACTTCAATCTGAAATACGTTGTACCATAGTACTTCTTAAATAATTCTTAATTATTTTTAATTTAGAGACCGAACGTTCTGCTGTAGCTGATGTTACTGGTATAAAAGAAATAATTTTAAAACGGCGACTACTTCCGAAACACTTGCAATTATTTTGAACCAATTTAACCAATTTAGTTAATTTGTAATCAATAATTCCGCTAATTTTTTGATGCTGAAAACTTCTTTTATGTTTTTAAATAGCACCCTTCTGAATGAAAGTATTTACTGTACAAATGACAAAGACAAATCATTTGAATACTACTAAACTAAAATTTTAGCAAAATGGATCACGTCTATATCTGAATATAGTACTAAACTTTTGGGAAAAAAAAATGTAAACTTATTAACAATATAATTTATACCCATAAAACGTGTACAAATTTTGTGAAATTTTAATGTCTATATTTGTGTAATATACATTGATTTTGAAGTTGTTTTCGGGATCAGTTAATCATTGGTCAGTACAAAGTTCGTCAAACAATTTGATTGTCTGTTTTTTTTTTTTTTTGAAAACGATGTATTTATGCCCCATTTTTTCTGCAATCGTGATTGCTTCTGATTTTATTTTATTAAACTGATTTCTTGAATTTTCCAAGTTACGCAATTAATTATTAAGTAGTTGACTAGCTTTTTCGATATTTATATTAATGTTTTGTAAACTTTTTGAAACAATGTCAATTATGTTTAATATTTTGTTACATTTAGAATAAATTCAAAAGTTTCTATATACTTTTTTAATGCATTTACTTCATTACGTTCATCTTTTGATTTGCCCGTATTATACGGTTTAACGTTTTCATGATATCTGTGTATTTTCTTTTTTACTATTACTATTTCTATTTTTATGTCTCGACATTGAATTTATAATTAAAAGTAGATCCCAGCTTTTTATACTTGAACCAAAAAATTTATTTAGTTGTTGTATATTATCCAAACATATCTGAACCAGTTGAACACAAACTGCATCTTTAATTGATAGAGGTAATTAACATTATAGAAATAGATTAACACTTTTAATTTGAAAAAAGCAATTATTCAATTTTTTTTCCGCGGGAATTAAATTTACTTTAATCAAAAACCCCAAATTACCGTGAGTACCCCCGCAACGCGGGGTCTGCGGACCTTCAGTTACGTTACTGTCGAGATGACTATTAGGAAATTTTTGAGTTAACTATTATATTTCTTGGCCAAACTCCTCCAAATGGTAAATTTTTCAAATTCCTGGACCCGTACATCATGGATGTCAAAAGCCATTTATACTCATAAAAAATATTTTTATAGTTCGGATATACCTACATAAAACAATGGTTTTGTGCTCCGGTTACTGCTTTATCACCAAACATGGACTTACAACTAATAAAAGATCTTTTATTGTTTATCAGGTTATTGATACTCAAATTTTAAAGTCAGTGTTAAAGAAAATGTATGCTTATTTGCGGTATTTAACAGTAACTTGGTTAGTATTTTTTAATGTCGAAGTATCACCAGAATCAAAATTATAAAAATGGTAAAAATAATGAATTCTCGTGACATGGTATTAGAAAACAAACAAATAATTTTACAATTGCATGTCATTTATGATTATGCTAATAAAGATATCGATGATGTGATATCAATCTAGTCTAGGAATTTCTTTTAATAAATTCGGTAACCGTTGGATTTTTAGATCCCATATCGTGAAATGAAAATGACCAATACGAAAAAGGAAAACAATTGGTAAATAATCTAACCGTAGTAAATGATATTGCGGATAGAGGGATTATGTCGATAGAAGATTATAACCGATTAATTACCAAAAACCAAGATCAGAAGTAATATTTTCTGCAAATAGTGAGCGAGTATCATCGGTGATTTTCAGATTGTAAAAAAGGACCTTATTCAAGCACTTATCTGATTATGTAAATTTATAAATAAAATGTTACGATTACAAAATATATTTAAATTTGAGATTGATCATAAAATTTCTATATATTGTATAACAACTTGAACACATTGTACTATTATTTGTATCAAAAATGTGTGTTATAAATGAAATTATTAAGTTAATATATAATAATATTTTAGGTACTTTTAATTTTCTTACATTTACTGGACTCTTACAATAAAACAGTCAATCCAATGCAATTTATAATCATTCAATTTTTTTTAGAAAATTAAATTAAAAATTTTTTTTATGTAAAATAATTTGTTGTATCACTGACAACCGTAAAAAAGTAAAATTTTAAAATAAATTAAATATTCGAATTTTCTTAGAAAATAATAGATTTATGAAAAATTGTATAGGTACATTCGTTTTTTATTCAAGATAAACAAACTTATAATTTAAGTTAGGTACCTACATTTTTACGATAAGTTCAATAGATTTTTGATTACGAGTATACTCATAAAACGATAAATCAACCAAATTTTAGAATTTGTCAACCCCTTGTAGGACGTAAAGGGGGTGAGTAATCAAAATTTAACTCAATTAACTTTATTATAATAATGAGCAAAATGAGATGGTGAGAAATTAAAAGTTCGTAAGTTAAAAATAAGGGCCATCCTACAGTTTTTGTATTATATAGAACAAAAAAAAAAAAAATACGGTAGATAAATAAAATGTGAATACTTGTCCCACACAAATATATTAGGCCAATAGGGAAATTTTTCTTTAAACAACGTTTTTAAAATGACAACTACATATTTTTGTATTATTTTTAGGCACTGAATCTGCCCTTTTATAATATAAAGTAATATATTATGATATAATAATATATCAAAATAATAATACTCAAACAAAAGTAAGTGTTATATACCTAATTAAATAACCAATGGCATTTACGTAGAATTAACAAGAAAATGTATTACACTTGTACAATGTACTATATGTACTTAAAACTC